CTAACCCTCGTGGCCCATCGCAACGCCTTCGCTACGAAACAGCTTTGTCGACAGAGCTCGTCTCAGCCTGCCGTTTTCAGGCACTAACACGACCGGCACCGATGACCTCATTCCCCTGACTAATGCCATCTTCAGAGTCAGCAAACAGAAGTGGTGAAAAATACCACATCACACCCACTTCACGGCATGCTTTCAGCAGCGTACTCAATCTGCAACGCAAAGATGCCCATTTAAGGAGCAGGTGTGCTGTACGTAAAGTCAGCACTAGCAACAAATTAATTCCACTCAAGTTGATCCCTAAAGAGATTGCCTCGGTTCCAGTGAAGCAGCTCGTTGGCACAGAGGCAGCTCAGACTGACAGCTTTACTGCTGCCCGCCCAGTTCTGGGCAGAGCCCTCCAAGGAGGGCATCAACCAACTAAGGAACAGCCAAAGGAACGACTGGAGATCCAGGAAACAGAGCCTGTGAGAAATGGCTAGAGGAGCCTGTTTAGTCTGGAGAAGAAAAGACTGAATAAAAAGTTTGTAAAGGAGGGAACAAAGCATTCTCTGTCTGCTGTTGCTAGGAGAACCTAATGGGATAAAATTGCAGCAAAGATTTGGCATCTGAGTTAATTCTGGTACAGCAAAGAACGGGAATGGCTTGTCTCGGGATTGTGCTGCCTCTGTAATGAGGGAGGTCTGTGAGAACAGGCTAGACAGGCGCCTGCCAGGTGGAGGGAGCGAGATAGTCTCTGGAGAGCCTGTCCAGCCCAGTTTTCTAGGAGTCTTTGTCACGAAAGCCATTTTTCTCAGAATGACTAACTTCAATCGCAGGAGCACTCAAGGTCAACCATTTGTACAGCTCCGCGTGTCGTTTCCAGCACACGAACGTGCTCCCGAGTCTCCGGTCACCTCATTTACAAGCCAACAGCAGAGCCGGGCCAATCCGCCACGCAGCAGGGCAGAGAGCTGCTCCTGCAGCACCAGCCTCCGCCTGTGCTCGCTCCTCTAGACTAAACCCTTTGGGGTCAAACCGGCTTCATTTGGACAAGCAGTTTCAGAGGCGGTAGTGCCCACACTGTTCATGCGCCAAGGGGCTCAGTGCACCAAGATACGAACAACCATATTTTAACACCATTTTTAGACAAGTGATTTATACAACACAATTAAAAGATTAAAAATGAGCTCTGGGAGAGTTACAGCGGCCCTCCCAGCTTCGCAGCTACGCTAGCTAACCTTGGACAGTGCTAGAAAAATCCACTTACGTCATCCAAGTGCGACTCCTCTTCCTCCTTCTCCTGCCCGTCCTCATCTTCCTCAGTCCTGGCTGGGTGAGTCACCTCGGATCTTGCCACAGGCCCCTCTTCCTCTGTGATCTCATCCCCCGCAGCAGTGTATACTCTTTCTTCTGTCACTGTCTCAGTGTCCTGGTATTCAAAAGGCACATTCCCATACCTACGGGATGAGCCTGTCTTTGGAAAATCCAGCTGCAATTTCTTGATAATCCGGGGAGGCAGCCTGCAGGCCCGGATCAGCTCCAGAAAAACTTTCAGGGGGGTGCCCACGTTCCCGTAAGGCATGAAGGAAGGGGGGTTGAACTCGGGCAGCCGCTTCAAGTCCGCTTCTGCGACAGATTCGCCTGCGGCCGTCTTGTCCCCGCTGCAGGGAAATGTCTCCGTGCCTGGAGGAGAGAAGGAATGGCTTTGCGGGGGAACACAGACTGCACCAGAGAGGGGTAAATCAGGGCCCTCCCGGGCAGGAGCGGGATGAGCAGGCCCCAGACTGCCTCTTCTTGTCTCATAATGGATTTAAGGCACTGAGGAAACTCCCTGAGGGGTTTTAACCACCCGGTGCCCGCAGGTTGCCTGCTGGGACCCGCAGAGGCGGGATCCAGTGCCCAGCGCGCCCTCGGGACCCTTGCAGGCCCAGGAGGGGAGGCCCAGCCCGGCTGCCCGCTCCTACCTGTCCCGGGGCTGAGGCGGACC